TTCTCTTCACAATGATTTCGTGGAGCTAGACAAGATGCAGGTGAACATTCAGGGAGTTGAACACGATCTTCGACGAATTAATCAAATTGATTCAAGGCTGTATGCCCAGCGTGTAATACAGGAACTAGGAAGTACGTACTTGAACGAACTACTACAACTTCGCAAACTTTGTTTCTTCAACTGGGAGGCACTGGCAAAAGATGCTGTGGGACAAAATTTAATTCCTGGTGACATTTTTTTTTATCACGTTCGAAAATTCCAGGGAAAGTTGAATTTGACGCCATAAAAGCAGAATGAAGAAGTTAAAAGTTGTGGAAGTATTACAATATAATGGCGTAAACATGAAAGTGATCAGCACTAAGACGACGTACGACTACAGTCAAGATGGGTTTATTACATTAAAACACGCCAGTAGTTTGTTCATTTTGGGGGTCATGAATTATTAATGAGTTTGAAAACTTGGGCAAGCGGGGAAGTGCCCCGGGCAAGCAAAATTTGAGAGTTACTTGCCCAACGGGCAAGGTGGAATTCAAATATTTTTCGAGCCCTGCAGACCAAGAAATCTTGGACTTGTAATGTAAAATATTTTTAAATGCAAGTTACTCTTTACCTTTGCTAGTAGATTCTTTTGGTAGAACATGTGCACTTGCATCAGCAAAGTCTGCTAAGATGTCATTGTTGTGTTTATTCACTTTACAGACTTGTGATTAATTTACTATCTTATTTTCATTGTTAAGAATGTGACCAAAAAAGTCTTACTTTCAAGAGCACAGAGAAATAAAAAGAAATATGTGACTGTTGTCACTGGACTGGGAACATTTGGTAAGTACATGTTCATGTACACTGTGGCTGGACATGCACCACACATAATAGAGCCATTTACTGATACGAGGTTGTCTCTCTGCCTGCCTGCTTGCCTGTCTGTCTGTCTCTCTGTCTGCCCGCCTGCCTGTGTATGCCTGCCTGCCTGTTTGGCTGTTTTTCTGACAGCTTTTCTGCCTGTCTCCTTGTTTGCCTGCCTGCCTTTCTGTCAGTTGTCGATTGGGCAGCAGTCTGTCTCTCGGATGTTTGTTGCTCAGTTGGTCCGTTTTAGTGCAAGTAAATCAATTTCCCATGATAATTCTGTATTACGACTAACAAGAGACTAACAGTATATGTGCATGTGATACAAGCTGATGACCACCTGACATTATTGTAACTCTTTCAGACATTGACTTGAAAAAGGCTGCCAAGTTATTTGCGCAGAAATACTCGTGTGGCTCGTCATTGACAGGGCCAGATGAAATTGTAATTCAGGGAGATGTCCTAGACGATTTACTGGAGTTTATTCCTGAAAAGTGGCCAGAGGTACAGTACACCCAAACAAACAAACAAACAAACAAACAAACAAACAAACAAACAAACAATCAAACAAACAAACATTCAAACAAACAAACAGACAGACAAACAAACAAACATTATGCATGCGCAAGAAGTGGCGTAAGCAGTCACTGTCAGTCTTGCGTCACAAGAACACGCAAGCCAGTGCAACAATTGAAAATGCTATCTTGCGTATACCGTACTTGCATTTTCCGTTGATTCAAGTACCTTTTAATGAAATTTTTTAACAACTTATAATAATAAGCTCTCACTAACCAAGCGCAAAGGCCGTACGAGGGAACATTGGCCATGGCCTTTTTTTTTTTTTCAACCCAACAGTGATTTAGTTACATTTTCTTCCTAATTTTAATTTTTTTCTTTCACATCTGCGGTGACTGGTTAGTACTCCTGGTGATTAGTAACTACTACTGGAGTACTTAAAAAGCCTTTTAAACTATTCAGGACCACTTATGGAGTTGGAAATATAGAAAACAAAGTAGCTCGACCCAAGCCCTGTACCTATTTTTTAAAACGTAGTTTCTGCTACAGTGGGGCACATCTGTGGAATAGCCTTCCATCTCTATAACGTCAGAAGCACTATGAAAATGAGATCAATCACGTAATGTCCTCCTCGTACTCCCACACGGCAAACATGTAAATCGTTTTTTTTTTTATTTCTTATGTCAATCTTGCAATATAACAAAACGGTGGGTAATTTTTGTTCTGCTCTCTTTTTTATATTATGCAGATTGATGAAGATAGTATAGACGACCTTGGAGATCAGAAGAGATGATAAAAGTCGTGTTAAATTCCTTTGTATAATGTAAAAATAAACATAATAAATTCTTAATCTTAAGCTCTCTAACATGTATTCGAAGCTAAGCGAGCGAGTACATACACCTTTTCGATGTTTTAACAATGATAAAATACTTTTAAACACATAATACTCGGGAATATTTTGCGCGTTGTGTAGTACGAACAATGAGCAAAGTATTATTTTTTAAACCATCGAATAAGGGTTTTATTATTCCACTATTACTGCATTTTCTGGTATTTCGGCTTCTATTTTTTGAAATAGATCCTGCGTCATCCGAAAATCGCACCGGTCGCTTTAGGCGCGTGTCAATGACGCAAACAAAATAAAACCTTACGTGTTTTGTGCGTCGTCTTGACCTAATATGGTAAAAAAGGGACTGGGTTGCAGTAGAATAATAATTAACAATTATTCCACTTGCGCGTGTTGGATGATATATCGCACTTACTCTCCTGGAATGGGGCACTACTCCATCGCTGGTACGTCCCAGCATATTTGCCGGTTATTTTAGTCAGTTTGCTGGTCCTTATTTCTACTCCTGGGTGGAGAGGGACATTCTCAGTGTATATGAGCTTGTGCAAGAACACAGGGAACTGGGCTGGACTTGAATCAGGACCACGCGATCCGGAGTCCAATCCACTTTTTTACGATGCAGAAATTCTCGCGCGCTCATTGGCTAATTTTCATTGTCAATAAGCTGACAGACACATGAATTTATAATTTATGCGATGCGTCAACGAGCGAGAGCGGACAATTTGACAATTTGTTATCGTATCGCCTCGTGGATCCACAGCTACTTTGACAATGTATGACGAAATTCATGATCAATAACAGGACAGACGCATGAAAAACTAATGTCAATTTGTTAAATCATTTGTAACCGTGATCGTAACGTCAACTTATGTTTAGGTTACGAACTTGGTCATTGGTGTCCTTAGCCATGCGTGTTCGCGCATTTAAAAGTTCTTGAAAACGAAAAAAAAAAGATTTTCTCGTTTGAAAGTTCTGGATTTTAAGAAGTCCTCGAATGCTCTTCCGGCAGAAAGATGACTGGGGCGGAATGGACAAGGGATATAAGAGTTGATTTTGATGATACCAGAAAAAAGTGATTGTTATTTGAAGTACGTTTTGATCTTGGGGAAACGCAGATCTTGAGTATTACAGAATCGTTCATAAAAGTTCTTGAAAAATGTCGGAAGTATTGCATGAACCGTGCTAAATTTGAAAGTGGTCACGCGATTCGTTCATATGTGCAACTCACTAGCCCCTACTTGCAACCATGTAGAAGTGATCAGGTGACTGGATACACTAGGCGAAATTCAGTCTCTGGTCGGGAAGATGGTGGTTTACGACAATGAAGTTGTAAGTTGTGTAGTTATGCAAGCATCCTTCTGGGAAACCGAGAGTTCTTATAATCAGGACGGTGTTACACAAAATTCACTGATAGAAATCCTTTTAGTCATTTGTTGAACTTTTACCGTGATTACAGGTCTAGTTTTCGCTAGATTTTGAAAATCGTAAGCCCTTTTAGTTACACTTTAATACTGTTCGTTTGACTGTTAACCTGATAAAACTGTGTTTTCTCGATCAGTATATGTCATAGCCTGATTCTCAAACGGTCCAGGTCGGAGAGTGCGTGGCCACGAGCGACCTGGACCGTCTGAGAATCAGGCTATATATGTCCCTATGTCTTTAATTACCGGTATCCTGACACTCCAGGACTATTCATTCAGACACGGTTGTAGGCTTATAAGAAAACTTACGGGCTTTTCTTAATTTCGTTTTGTTAAGTGATAAACTCCTTATTGCCCTACACTATTTGGGTATAACCTGTAGTCCACAGACAGACTCAGAAATGCTTAGTAGCGCAGTACAGGAACAGGCTGCTGTCGTACAGCGAAGGTCGCTCGTAGTAATACAACAAACGGCTCTTCCACACTTTCCAGGAATCTGCATCCTTCAGCTTTGGGATAGGTCGGTTCAACAGCGTGATGGGTGTGCCTGACTTGTAGTGCTCAGCAACCCAGTGAACCGCTTGGTAGATGCCGTTTGACGAGGTTTCCAACAAACAATCACACAGATCATCCTGCGGATAAAAGAATTCTAAGTAAAGACAATTTTAGAAAATGTTCGACTATGGTATTTTCGGCTTGCAGTCGTTAATTAATGGGGTCAGTTTTCTGCGGTTTTAACCCTTTATTATTTTGTGTACCGGCTACTGTGCAGTGGTAAACGCGTCACGGTTAACGCTTGAGCTCACTTCAGTTCACATATCACGCGCATCACCTGCAACCATAGTTAATATTAACTATGCCGCAACCATCCGCACTTTAATTGTAACTTTTAATTCTGAATGAAACCCTGGTGTGCAACTATTCAAATGAAAGTTATTGAGTAGTACAAAGGTTCATCTGGTATATGATGCTGTACGATGTGGTTTGTGGAGGAAAACCTAGGGTGTGGCCATTGAAATGAAATTAAAGCCATTGATCATGAGCGGTACAGTTCACGAAGTAGTACTGTTTATACAGTCGAACCTCTATTGAGCGGCCGCCCATTAAACGGCCACCCATATTAGGCGGCCAGCAATCAAAGTCCCAATGATGGCTTTTCCATTGTTTCTACCTCTATTAAGCGGCTAACCCCTGTTAAGCGGCCACAGTCCATTTCCCCGAGGGTGGCCGTTTAATAGGGGTTGGACTGTATTGCGCTGTACAAGGTGGTTTCAACTTCTGTGAGTCTGTGGATTTAAACGTAGTGTGTGGAAAGTCACTGAGGAGTACTTCATCTTCAAGTTGTACTGTTTGTTACGTTGGACAAACCGGTTCAATTCCAGCTTTTTAAAAACTCGAGAGTGTTACCTGATTCAAATGGGAATTTAGAGATTATTTCAGAAAGAATCTCAATGAACCTTTTGATTTCAGTAGCAGGGAGAATTTAACTACCTGGGGTGGGTTTTTCAAGACTTCCTGGTAAACCTCCGTCACCCTGTGCCACACGTCAATCATATGAAACTTGTGAACGATTCGCTCGGTCGAGGACCAATTGGGACCCAAGCCATCATCGTCCAAGCCAATCCGACTTAAAATGGTATCAATGATGTTCAGCGTCTCAGTGGTGAAATCTTCCCCACGGGGGTCCTCTGGAGCATAGGGTAACACCAGATGTTCCTGGGGAAGAGAAAGTAATTTGTAGAGGTTCAGATCAAAGCTGATTAACCCATTAATTCTCTCGACATCACTCATAAGTCTACTTTAAACGGTCTGGGGAGAGTTTGTACTCCGATAGAGAAGGTAACAAGAAAATATGAAAACCAGAAGAATTGATAACCTGACCAGCTAACTCTTAAGGACAAAACTACCCCGAATTTTCCACACTGAAAGAAGATTTTATTCTGTCAGGCTCCCAAAAAAAGAAATTTTTAAAAGTTTGTTAAATGAACGTATGTGCGGCCCAAAAGGGCTTGGTTTTTCAGCCGTTTTGGTCTGAAATAGGGTATCGATTTTGGCCATTTTGGTCTCAAATAGGGTTTGGTTTTTGCACTCTGGTCTTGAATTGGGTATGTTTTTTTAGAAGAACTTGAAGCTACTTTTTCTTCGTTATCGATAAGACCATCAAAGTTTTTCACAATGCGTTTGACATCGGACTGAACCAAGGAACTAATTATAAGGCAGGTCTGAAACAGGGCATTGATTTAAGAGTCAGGTCTTACATAGAGTATCAAATTTTTCGTCAAGTCACAAATTGCAGGTAAGGTAAGGGTTTCGGGTAGCGGACCGCACACCCCCACCCAATATTTCTGGGAGTGCCTCCCCAGGACATTACAATCAAACCAAGTGAAGCGTACCCCTCAAGATTTCATTAATGAATTGATTATTTGACTATTGAACCCGCTAGTCGTCTCAAGAATATGTAATGATGAATTGATTATTTGAATATTGAACTCGTTAGTCATTTCAAATATCAATATTAAATTGTTTTGTTTGTTTGTTTTTTTTTTTACATTAAACCCATTAGCCGTATTCTTGGAACGACTAGTGAGTTCAATTTTCCAATAATCAATTCATTGTTGCATTCTTGAAAAGACTAGCGGGTTCAACATTCAAATAATCAATTCATTAATGTAATGTTGGGGGTACGCTTCACTTGATGTGACTGTAATAAACAGCGAGCAGTTAAGTAAACCTTCCGTGACTAGTAATTCAATACTTTTGTACCAAGGCGTACCACATGCCAAAATACCGTCAACACTCGAACACGAAAGGCCTCCCTAAAGCATCACTTTTACCCCAAGAATTCCTTACTTAGAGATTGTCTACTGAGAAATTCCCATTTCTGGGTTGAAAGTGTCCTATTAGACATAGCCCATCCAGCCTTAGGCTAGTTCTTTGCAATATTCAACAAGGTCAATAGACGTTTTGAGGCGAACTAAATCCAAGGTTAGTGAAGATCCCGCATTCAAATCTGCTGACTTGTTTGAGCATTGCAAGGTAAAGGGTACTCGCCTCATCCCGGATGTTGTGATTGACTGTTGGCACGCGGTTGTTCTCAGTGGCCTGCGGGTTGAACAGGCGGAGACCCTGCACGTTCATGGAGTGAATAGTGTGAGCAATGGTCTCATTGAAATTCCTCGACAAATCGTACGAGGCGTACAGCTCGCTACAAGACGATTGAGCTGCAGCCGAGCTGCAGAGAAGAGCAGCTATCAGCAGATAGAGCATCGTGACGATTTCACTTTGCGGATTCTCTTACGCGCAAGAGAGAAGACGTCCACTGAGAAATTGCGAAATGTGTAATCACACTACTTTATATAAAGGTCAGATCCTGTGACTTTAAGTGCCAGGTTACAGCTGAGCAACCTTGGCAGAAGTCCAGTGACAACAGACCTGCATGCGTCACTCATGACGCTCCGGAACTGAAACGCACGCGAAGCACCGACACTTGAGCGCAACGCGCTCTGGCAAACCCGAAAAACGCGCGCCTGACGAAAAAACAAATGTGAAAAATGTGCTACCTCTCATAACAGCCTTGCCTGTATTGATAAGCTTACGAGAAAAATACACTTAACCTGACGGTACAGTACATTTCGGGTGGAAATTCCTACCGTGGAATCAACTCCTTACGTAGTAAAATTAAAAATAAATTGTCGCAGGGAAAAGAAAATCAACGGGTGTAGTTCCAGCCTACTGGCCAGCACCTTCCCGTGTGAATGAGTCAATGTGAAATGAGGACGATCAAATTATATTCAGTGCCTGATTCATAAGCTTTCTTCTGATATATAGGTTTTTATGGTTTTGAACTGCAGTCATGAAGTTACACCAGGAGCCGTTATTAATATGGCTCCTGGTTACACTAGCTTGTTTGAAAAAAAGTTTCAGTTTACCGCGGCCTCAAACATGTAAAATGAGATATCCACGCCCGAATCAAGAGCATGTCGCTACCTGTCGCTGACCCCTAGCAGAGAATGATGTGGAAACATATTCTTTGACCATTTAATTTTTCTCTTTGCTTATCCATAGGAATGGTCTTTTGCATTGACTTAAAGAGAGATAAAATATACCCAACAGATCCGCAGAGGCTGGTGGCCTAGAAGTTACTACGGTTTCCAGCGCATCACCCAGCTAGCGGGTGAATATCTCTAACTTTTCATGGAACTCAGGCTAGTCCGTCACAGATAACCCCTTTCTCTCTCCTGCATAATTTTGTCGTGTTAATAACTGGCCAAGACCAGTTAGGCACTGGTATAGTTTAAATGTCTAAGTTAACCCAGAGTTCAACGTAACGATCCTGTCCAGGGGCCCGTTTCTGGAAAGCCCCGGAAACTATTCGGGCCCGTAAAGCCAGTTTTAGTTCATCTTTATGTAAAAACGGAGACGTGTATATACGCCTGAAACTTCTTGTATGAAGAGAACCTCTGTTCATATCTAAAATATGTGGATAAAACAGCTCTGTAATGGTAGGGTTCAAGATTTTGCTATGGCTTTCCGAGCCCGAAAAGTTTTCGGGACCTTCGTCGAAGGTCCCGAAAGTCCTTCGAAGGTCCTTCGAGAAACGTGCCCCAGGACTCCCATCCGGAACCTTTCGAATCTACCTTACCAACCATTGCTAGTACCATGCTCCCACAAAGTCTAGTTGCCCGGATATTTCACATACCTTCATTTTGATTGAAAGGTAGTCGTTCTCAGGTGTCCAGGTGACGGCACTAAGGTGAACCTCGATTCCATGCTCTCTATGCTAACGACAAGGGAAGCAAAGGAGAAAGAGCCTGGGATCGAGGTTAGGTGCCGTGCGTGATCCGTTTGGGGCAAAGAGCTCGTCAATGACGTAGCTTGATAATATGGAAGATGTAAAAAAACACTTCATGGTCACATGGATTGATGTGGTGTACTAATTACTAGCGAGAAACAAACAAAACATGGTTTGTGCAAACAAGAAATGAGTCAAAGAGGCAGCAAACAGTTATTGGCCAAAAGCTGTTCAAACCAGAACTGGTAAACCACATGGAAATTTATTAGTTCCCTCCTGATCAATAAGTAGTTCATCTGCGTCCTGTATTGTCACAATAAACAATATCACACAACACCAGTGATAAATCCTACCCCGTTTTAAATCGTTTTATTATTTATCAAAAACCTTGCGTTTTTCTGGTGGCTGTTTTATAATCGCCATGGTATTACTTATGACTTTTTTGTTTCGGTGGCCATACTGAAGTACCGTTTTCCTCGGTCGAAAACAAAATCGGACCTGTAATATCAGTGTATTTGTTCAGTTCAATCAAGTTTTACCAACATCAGATATGATATATAATAATAATATTTTCGGTGTGTTTGCCGTCACTCATTAAAACTTCTACTGGCAAGTAATCTGTGATCAGGCGTTCTTTTCATGGCGAGTTACAGAAAGTTTATTTGGAGGTAGCGTTCATGACATCCCAAAAAACGGCTGCGGAGGAGACAAGCANAATTATAAGGCAGGTCTGAAACAGGGCATTGATTTAAGAGTCAGGTCTTACATAGAGTATCAAATTTTTCGTCAAGTCACAAATTGCAGGTAAGGTAAGGGTTTCGGGTAGCGGACCGCACACCCCCACCCAATATTTCTGGGAGTGCCTCCCCAGGACATTACAATCAAACCAAGTGAAGCGTACCCCTCAAGATTTCATTAATGAATTGATTATTTGACTATTGAACCCGCTAGTCGTCTCAAGAATATGTAATGATGAATTGATTATTTGAATATTGAACTCGTTAGTCATTTCAAATATCAATATTAAATTGTTTTGTTTGTTTGTTTTTTTTTTTACATTAAACCCATTAGCCGTATTCTTGGAACGACTAGTGAGTTCAATTTTCCAATAATCAATTCATTGTTGCATTCTTGAAAAGACTAGCGGGTTCAACATTCAAATAATCAATTCATTAATGTAATGTTGGGGGTACGCTTCACTTGATGTGACTGTAATAAACAGCGAGCAGTTAAGTAAACCTTCCGTGACTAGTAATTCAATACTTTTGTACCAAGGCGTACCACATGCCAAAATACCGTCAACACTCGAACACGAAAGGCCTCCCTAAAGCATCACTTTTACCCCAAGAATTCCTTACTTAGAGATTGTCTACTGAGAAATTCCCATTTCTGGGTTGAAAGTGTCCTATTAGACATAGCCCATCCAGCCTTAGGCTAGTTCTTTGCAATATTCAACAAGGTCAATAGACGTTTTGAGGCGAACTAAATCCAAGGTTAGTGAAGATCCCGCATTCAAATCTGCTGACTTGTTTGAGCATTGCAAGGTAAAGGGTACTCGCCTCATCCCGGATGTTGTGATTGACTGTTGGCACGCGGTTGTTCTCAGTGGCCTGCGGGTTGAACAGGCGGAGACCCTGCACGTTCATGGAGTGAATAGTGTGAGCAATGGTCTCATTGAAATTCCTCGACAAATCGTACGAGGCGTACAGCTCGCTACAAGACGATTGAGCTGCAGCCGAGCTGCAGAGAAGAGCAGCTATCAGCAGATAGAGCATCGTGACGATTTCACTTTGCGGATTCTCTTACGCGCAAGAGAGAAGACGTCCACTGAGAAATTGCGAAATGTGTAATCACACTACTTTATATAAAGGTCAGATCCTGTGACTTTAAGTGCCAGGTTACAGCTGAGCAACCTTGGCAGAAGTCCAGTGACAACAGACCTGCATGCGTCACTCATGACGCTCCGGAACTGAAACGCACGCGAAGCACCGACACTTGAGCGCAACGCGCTCTGGCAAACCCGAAAAACGCGCGCCTGACGAAAAAACAAATGTGAAAAATGTGCTACCTCTCATAACAGCCTTGCCTGTATTGATAAGCTTACGAGAAAAATACACTTAACCTGACGGTACAGTACATTTCGGGTGGAAATTCCTACCGTGGAATCAACTCCTTACGTAGTAAAATTAAAAATAAATTGTCGCAGGGAAAAGAAAATCAACGGGTGTAGTTCCAGCCTACTGGCCAGCGCCTTCCCGTGTGAATGAGTCAATGTGAAATGAGGACGATCAAATTATATTCAGTGCCTGATTCATAAGCTTTCTTCTGATATATAGGTTTTTATGGTTTTGAACTGCAGTCATGAAGTTACACCAGGAGCCGTTATTAATATGGCTCCTGGTTACACTAGCTTGTTTGAAAAAAAGTTTCAGTTTACCGCGGCCTCAAACATGTAAAATGAGATATCCACGCCCGAATCAAGAGCATGTCGCTACCTGTCGCTGACCCCTAGCAGAGAATGATGTGGAAACATATTCTTTGACCATTTAATTTTTCTCTTTGCTTATCCATAGGAATGGTCTTTTGCATTGACTTAAAGAGAGATAAAATATACCCAACAGATCCGCAGAGGCTGGTGGCCTAGAAGTTACTACGGTTTCCAGCGCATCACCCAGCTAGCGGGTGAATATCTCTAACTTTTCATGGAACTCAGGCTAGTCCGTCACAGATAACCCCTTTCTCTCTCCTGCATAATTTTGTCGTGTTAATAACTGGCCAAGACCAGTTAGGCACTGGTATAGTTTAAATGTCTAAGTTAACCCAGAGTTCAACGTAACGATCCTGTCCAGGGGCCCGTTTCTGGAAAGCCCCGGAAACTATTCGGGCCCGTAAAGCCAGTTTTAGTTCATCTTTATGTAAAAACGGAGACGTGTATATACGCCTGAAACTTCTTGTATGAAGAGAACCTCTGTTCATATCTAAAATATGTGGATAAAACAGCTCTGTAATGGTAGGGTTCAAGATTTTGCTATGGCTTTCCGAGCCCGAAAAGTTTTCGGGACCTTCGTCGAAGGTCCCGAAAGTCCTTCGAAGGTCCTTCGAGAAACGTGCCCCAGGACTCCCATCCGGAACCTTTCGAATCTACCTTACCAACCATTGCTAGTACCATGCTCCCACAAAGTCTAGTTGCCCGGATATTTCACATACCTTCATTTTGATTGAAAGGTAGTCGTTCTCAGGTGTCCAGGTGACGGCACTAAGGTGAACCTCGATTCCATGCTCTCTATGCTAACGACAAGGGAAGCAAAGGAGAAAGAGCCTGGGATCGAGGTTAGGTGCCGTGCGTGATCCGTTTGGGGCAAAGAGCTCGTCAATGACGTAGCTTGATAATATGGAAGATGTAAAAAAACACTTCATGGTCACATGGATTGATGTGGTGTACTAATTACTAGCGAGAAACAAACAAAACATGGTTTGTGCAAACAAGAAATGAGTCAAAGAGGCAGCAAACAGTTATTGGCCAAAAGCTGTTCAAACCAGAACTGGTAAACCACATGGAAATTTATTAGTTCCCTCCTGATCAATAAGTAGTTCATCTGCGTCCTGTATTGTCACAATAAACAATATCACACAACACCAGTGATAAATCCTACCCCGTTTTAAATCGTTTTATTATTTATCAAAAACCTTGCGTTTTTCTGGTGGCTGTTTTATAATCGCCATGGTATTACTTATGACTTTTTTGTTTCGGTGGCCATACTGAAGTACCGTTTTCCTCGGTCGAAAACAAAATCGGACCTGTAATATCAGTGTATTTGTTCAGTTCAATCAAGTTTTACCAACATCAGATATGATATATAATAATAATATTTTCGGTGTGTTTGCCGTCACTCATTAAAACTTCTACTGGCAAGTAATCTGTGATCAGGCGTTCTTTTCATGGCGAGTTACAGAAAGTTTATTTGGAGGTAGCGTTCATGACATCCCAAAAAACGGCTGCGGAGGAGACAAGCAGTTCTACTAATATGTTGAAAAATATTTTCTAAAGCATTAAATTACAGTGGGAGAGAAGACCAATTCAGTCTGCGTAATTATACTTTTTTTTTGGAGCTAAGCGTAAAAGGTGAGGGTCGAAGTAAATTTACCGGTCTTAAGGATGTACTCAATCAGGCTTGAGGAATCAATTATCAATATGATCAAAAAAATACATTATGGAATTACTTTCATGTCTCGTTTGTGATAAATTTTCAAAAAACCCTCAAAGAGAATGGACGCTTTCCATTACACAAAAAATTGCGTTCTGCATTTCTAGAAACTTCCACTGGCGTAGAATTTTCCGAAATTTTCGTTTTAATTTTCTGAGCTGTGGAATGGGACAATTTCCGAATTTTCTGGAAACGTTTCAAGGAGATTCCTTACCATTTGTCCTCGTTTTGTGTTTTGTAATTTTTTGGAATTTTTGGTTGAATGGAAAGCGCCCCGTCTACACCTCCTGCTATACCCGAACTTCTTGAATCGAACGTACCGACCATTGCCACTAATCCTATTATCGTGCTGTTATGTTCTCAGCATAGTGTGCTAAAAGTTACGACATGTAATGCAGTGTTACGTAACGTCACGCTACGTAAAGTATTGTAATGGAACTAGTCCTGCCTGGGAAACTAGCAGTACTGAGCCGCGAGCCGAGCAAATATTAGCCGAGCACTTTGTCTCTCTCTTAACCGGCAGGGCCTTGGAACGAGGAAAAAGGGTTTTTTTACTTCCTTGGTTACGGGGATAATTTTGAAGTCATCATATCGAAATATGTAACTGCAACTTCCGCCCAGAATTAACTTCTGTTTAAAATTCCCTTTGATAAACGTTAAGGTCTATCGGTGCTGTAATCGAAATGTTTTACTTAAAGATCATGGAGATCAACCAGTGGATTTCTCAGCAGCCTAGTACCAAGTCCCCGCCGGATAAGAGGGACAGGTGGTTTGGTGGCGCTCTGGGGACGAGAATGAAGTTTTGACGGAAGCTGTCTTTCGAGAGGAATACGCGAAAGTTTGGACAGTGTATTTAGTCTTCCGCATGGCAACGAATCAAGGGTTACTTTAGCTTAATGACACCTTCTTTAACTTAAATCTTAAGTAAGAACGTTTTCCTTCTTCTAGCACGAAACGTGAAGAGGAGTCGATTATTCTAGACAAGAAATTTACAACAAGTTTTTGCTGAGACAAAATGGTGCCCATGTATGGTGGAACAAACTACATGCATCGGCCTCCTGAAAGACCGCGGACTACAGGACAAGCTAATAACGAGCCAAGACAGCTAGAGTTCACCGAAGCTATGAGGGATTTTAAACATATGTTTCCAACCCTGGATCGGGAAGTTATAGAGGCCGTTTTACGAGCTAACAATGGGTTGGTTGATGCTACCATCGATCAACTTTTGTCAATGGGACTTGACATGGAAGGTTGTGGTACAGCTTCGACGCAATCAGAACATCCGCCATTACCTTCCTACAGCGATTTAGATCGTTCAGAACCGCCTCCAGCTTATACACCGAGAAATGGCGAATCTTTCACGGATTCTTCAACTCCTTGTCGCCCTCTCCCAGCAAGGCCTTACTCGGCATGGAATCCGCCATTACTCGGCAAATTGCCGGATGATTTTTTGCGTCTTGGGCCATCAACGACGCTTTCTCCTTCTTCTTCTTCTCGAGGCTTTGGCGATAGCATGGGCGACAGAGAGCTGGAACGGTTTTTGGAAGATGAAAAACTGGCCATGGTATTACAGAACGAAGAATTTATGCGAGAGCTGAGACACAATAAAGATTTCATGTTGTCACTGGAGAAAGGTTGGTGAATGCTATGAGTCGTTGCGTGTCGTGAAGCATAATCTCGTAGTTGTAATCTCTTATATTAAATTTTATCGCTATGAACTGTGATATAAATACCACCACGTGCAGTGACAGTCGGAAAATTCTAAGTGACATTTTAAAGTAAAGAAATTCGAAGGTTCAAGTCTCTTTCGAGTTATTTCTAATGCTTATATTACAATGTAAATAGGTAATTATGTTTGCATCTTAGATTTAAGTAATAGCATTTTGTTACATTAAATATTAAAAAATATTCAATTTTGATTGCTTGCGGATAACCCTGCAGTGAATGGTATATGATATTTTTTTAACTATTCAGATTGGATATTTCAAACATTTTTTTTCCTGTAATATTCCAATTACAGTATTTCAGTTTTGTACAAAAAAGTAAAAAATGTGGGTAATTTATGTTGCTGTTGAGGCTGGAAAGCTACACTGTATGGTGTGTGATCCATGGCACAAATAAGTAACACACGTGTGACCTATTGTGTTTAAATAATGAATGTTATTGGCTCTTAGTGTATCGTGATGCCTTTTGCACATACTTACAACACCTTAGGTTGTGTAACTTTACATGGGCTTTAGGGTTGATAACCGGGGGGACATATATTTGACAGGGAAGGGGAGATTACATGTTCATGTACACATAATTGCATTGTGTGACTCCACAAAATATCAATACTGCACCACAGAAGGAGTTGGAAATTTTGCATGGGTGGATGGTCAGTTTGGTATGCAGGTGTCCTTTGATTTAATATGGATTCAAGTACCGGTCTACATGTACTTGTAGCTTTTTAAAAATTGTTTCTTTTCTACTAAGAAGATCTTTTACATATAAAAATAGAAGCTTGAATACCTGTATTTGAATTGGAATATATCTGAAATATTTTTGTCCCTTCAAAAAGCACACTGGAAGCTAACACATGTGCTCTTGCCTGGACCATTATTTGTCAGTTCAGTCTAGATTAAGTCACTTTATGGACGTTTAAGTACTGGTGACTAGGCTAGTTTGTTTTCTTGTTGGTCTCAAATGAATCAATCAAATGGCAGTCCATTTACAATTTCAGAATCTCAAGAATTTCTAGCTCTTGTAAATATATGCTCACTTGTGTGTAACATAGTAGTTGAAATTTTGAATCAGCTTTGTTTACCAGTGTATCAGGGATCGCATTCATGATAAAATTATGGTGTCACTTTCATCTAGTACATTTATGTAACAATTGACGTCAGTTTTTCATACGTCTGTCCTGTTATTGATCATGAATTTTGTCAAAGCATTGTCAGATTAGCTGTGGATCCATGAGGTGATAGCTGAGTGGATCCGCAGACTTTCGTTGTAATAATGTCAGTGTTAGGGAATTTCCGGGTTTCAACAGAGTTCTTCCAGTTGATAGTAATCGAATCTCTCCACAATGGCTACCTTGGAGACAGAGGAAGGGAAAGTGGCTGTTGTAGAGAGGTGGCCATTATGGGGAGGTACATGTAGGAGTGTAACATGACACCTGACACATGACATTTCTTTTCTTAAAGGTGGATATTTTCACATGTAAACTGTATGTAACACAATCAAAATACATCAATAAAACAGAAACAGAGACCAACGATGTCCGTCACGCATTAGGTCTGGCAATCGTTTACAGTAAAAAAATGGGGTTTTGTATACACCGTTCGTCAGTCATTGATTAACTGGCCATTGTCAAGAGGTTATTTTGGTAGGCGGGATGTGTTTTAGTGGCTATTGCCATTCTGGAGAGGTGGCTGTTGTAGAGAGGTTAAAATAGGAGCAGAATGTACCTTGTATGGACCATCTGCCCGGACCAAAAAAAGTGGCCATTGTAAAGAGGTGGCTGTTGTAGAGAGATGGCTGTCAGTGGAGGTTCAACTGTAAATCCAGATGTGGCCAGTCTAGATTAGCCTAGACTACCTGCGGCTCCATGCCATTATATTTAAGCTTCTAACGTAATTATTTTTAATAATAGAGTTTTAATAAAATGATGATGATGATGATGATGATGATGATGATGATTAGGTTTCTAGAGATCAGGTTTGCAACTACATGTATGTGCATATCTTTAGTAACACTTATGAGAAAGAAGTCTTTTGAAGCTAGATTAATGGAGTTGCATTGTAGATTCTTAGGCTCACTTGTTACAATTATTATTATTATTATTAATATTAATCTTTTAACCCACAGACAGACAAAGAAATACTGCAGCTGCAACTAGGAACATAGGTATGTCTCAATGTAGTACAAGGTAGCATGTACAGTGTATTGGATTATTATCCCTCTGATTCAAACTACATGTAAAGTTTCTTTGTTTAAGAGGAAATGTGTTGATGTGTAGGTGGTGTGGTGGTTCTCTGTTGTTTTGGTTTGTTTTAGACTGCATGTTAATTAACTGATAACAATCATTTTAAGCAGTTATTGTGATGATTACTCCAAACGTCTGGATTGAGCAAATTGAAGTCAGCAAGAGTTAGCATAGATTCAAATTTCTAGTCTGTGAACTCACTGACTCTCTGGGGCTCTCATCAACTTTGATTGTGCTCAAATTTCCAGTCTGGCCAGAAGAGTAAAATTTGCGTTGTTACTGTGCTCGTCTACCTGCATGTCCCACGTCTCTGATGTAATCACTGCATAAAAGATACATGTACATAATAATCTCTATCTGCATCCAGTTGGATTCAAATACTGGTTTTGTGCCAGATGTAAGACTGCTCTTGTATTCAGACAACCAATATTTGAGACTGAAGTTAGTACCTGTCCAACAGACATGTGGTATTCATGAAAGAAATACAATTTATGTCCTGGTCTTTACTATTGATCGCAGACGTCGTTTGAAATGGCTTTTCCTCAGGCCGTTTCACACACTGTTGGTTTCATTCATATGATTCAAAAAAAGTGATCACATGATGATAAACATCTCTTGGTGTGGATGGCCAAAGTTTGCAGTACAGCGGTTGCAAATTCCTCAAAAGTTCCAAGTTCGAGGCAAATCTTATCCATGTGATAGATGCTGCATCTGTTGAACTCTTCTCTGTAACATATCTTGGATTGCATCTTGTTAGAAAGTGTGAAACTCAACAAACTTGCAAACAAACTGTGAAGCAACTTTCCTGACGGCAGAGATTCACTCATCACATTTCATGAATTTGTCATCAATGTGGTCACTTTTTTTGAATCACGTGAATGAAACCAATGGTGTGTGAAATGGTCTGAAAAAAAAGCCTTTTCAAGGGACATCTGGGATCAAGAAGTGAAGAAGAAGTGAGTAAGAAGTGAAGAACTCTTAAAATTGAAACTCTCTTCCTTGACTCTCTTCAACTCTTGGTCCTTTTTGAACTGATGTATTTGAAGACGGGAACGGTACTGACTAATTTAAATGAAAGAAGTATGTATATACAACAAGTGCAGTGGACGTTTTTTTTTTTCAGACATGTTTATGTAGATGTTGCTATTGGCAAATGTAAATCTTATTTTCTATGCATCCTTGTGATACGATGAACATGCTTTGGTCACATACATTGCCAGGAGGTGATTTTATTGATTCAGAAGAGTTTCAGCCTTTTAAGGGGGCTGTACTTCAGTTGTCATGAGTAATAAATTTCAGCCCAGGCCAAGAGCTTTTTTGCTTTACAGCCACCATCTTGTTTCAATTAGTGAACTAAACACAGTTGTTACATGTACACATGTCCAAGTTCTCTCTTTAGGCTAGGCTGAAATTCCTCAAATTCCATCATGATGACATGGGCTTTTGTTGAGGGCTTATCTCATTTGGCCCAGCTGAAATCTTAAGCCTGACTTTAAAACCCGCCTGAAATTTTCAGTCTGGGCTAAATTTAGCTTCCGCTGAAATTCTCCCCATGTAACTGCCAACTTCATTTCAAGAGGATTGTTTCAAAGGCTGGGCTGAAATTTTCCAGATAGTTGCCTGCTCCTTTACATGTATGTTTGAGCTGTTGGTTCGTACTGTACATGTATGTAATATTTTTCTCTGGCCTGGAGTTAAAATATTCACACCTGGTAAGCTATAGCATATTTACTGTGCCCAAATTCAGTTATTTTGTTATTCAACAAGATTTTTTCTTGCATCAAACTGTGTCAGGCGCCCTCATCTGACCTTCATTACAAACAGTCTATGGTATAGATTTTAAATTCAATAGTTTTTGCTCTTACAAAAGTCACATCCTTGAAGACAGTGCCTAAAACAGAAAAAATTAAGCCAGTGACAGTTGTTTTGCTTGTATTTAGCCCCAGTAGAAACGCCAGCCAGCAATGTTCCAATACCAGCTGCAAGTAGTGCTAGCAGGGGACATTCCCCTCAACCGCAAACGATGACACCCCCAGCAGCGGCAAATGTGGAGCCTGTTGCTGGAGCAGTGGGTGGACATCAAGCCACCGGCACTGCCACCCATGATGATGCTGTTCTCAGGGAAAGACTGAAGCACATGGGAAAGAGTAAGCATTGTTTTTGATGTAATAATTTATATCAAACATGAAAGACCGTGTTTGACCACATTTCCAAACACTGAGAAGAGAGTTGAAAATACGATGCGCAGCGGAGTATTTTTGAGGTGTTTGGAAATCTGGTCAAACACTGTCTTGATTGTTTGATATATCATCTCAATTGAAACTAAAACTAAGGAGAAAATGGAGAAATAAAATCGTAAAATCTATGCTAATTAAGATCAGATATCCAAACACCGTCACGGTCATGATTTCCTTTGTTTAAACTTGATGAATTATTAATAAGTTTGAGAAAGTAGCATGCATATGTTTTGGTTTCGTGAAGTACGCTAAGGGATTAGCTTAAACATACTTGTACTACGTTGTCATCCAATCAAAAGTACAGTAAAACCAAAGCCCATCGTTACTCACTCCCACGTGTTTTCCAACAGTTTACGCTGATAAGGTGGTTTTAATTTTTGAGTCTGTTGATGATACCTCAAGTGAATGTTGTACAAACTAAAGTACTCTTTTGATTTATAGCTACTGTAACAGAGCTACAGTATGTTTTCTTTAGTTGTTGACTGTTTCTTGAATAACTTACAATGCACATTTAACACAGACACACAGAAAATTAAATATTATTTAAGATTTTTGCTCCCTTCAAAAATGGGCACCTTTGCATTAAATTATAGGAGGTGACAATAGCTATTTTAAAAATAGGTAATCCATGCCAACTAATTGGTGAAAGAGATCTTTGAAGCATTTTTTTAATTGCCCTTACTGATTTTAATTCTCAGGTACAAGAAAGAAGTTTGACAAGCTGGCCAAAATGTTCCACAGGAAGAATGTGAACAGGGCAAAGTATCCTTTGGAACGATAAATAATTATGTAATTGCATTAATTTTTTTTAATATTCAAACTGTGTTTGATACAAAACATAGAGTAATCAAGTTGAAGTCTGTGATTGGGGCACCCTGGCCCTCTACACTGAGACTCAGCCACATGAGTTCAGAGTACCTTGTTCTTACCCCCCTCCCCACCCCCCCACCCCCCCCCCCCAGATGGGATGGTAGTCCCTNCCCCCCCCCCCCCCCCCCCCCCCCCAGATGGGATGGTAGTCCCTCGCAGGGTCATTCCCCTCAGTAAAGTTGTTTCGAGATTGTTAGAAACTTATGTTTTAGTAAGTTTTCTCCTTTCAGACTACTAATTTGGGAATTTTGTGCCGCAAGCAAGTTGTTTGTTTCCTTGACTTTGCAGTCTTATTGCCACTGGGACTGCTGCATCTACTGCCAATCTTCTCGATGGCTATAATGAGGATGACGATGATGGTAAGTATATTTTAACTTTGTGTGAAAATACATTTAAATTTACTTCATGGTAAATTGTGTCTCCTGGTAACTTCTTTTTCTGAATTACATGTAAATGCTGTAGTCTTTGTTATTAAGACCGTTTTTCTCTTTTGAAACTGTTGTAATTATTCAGATGAACTTCTTAATGCCATGGGGTCAGCCAGGCTGGAAATCATGGATGAGAGAGATGAGGACAAAGAGAGCAAGACAGTTACACAGCAGAAGGTAATGAATGTCATGTGCCAATGATTTAAAATGAAATGCTACAAAATGTTGTGTAGGCAATAAGTCTAGGTTTTTTTATTGACTTGACATTCTGCTGCAGGTCATACCACATGGTCCGTGATCTTATACAGCTATGTGATTGGCTAACAATAGGTGCTTCATTCATACATTATAGTCCTGCTTTTGTGAAATTGTCAAAAAAGCTTTTAAATACTCTGTGATTTCTTGTGTTGGTGGATTGGCGCTTGCTGCTACATGTGGCTAAAGTTGTTGCCTTTTGCTCTTCTGAATGCGTTCTTGAATGATAAATTAAGCAACGTGCACTGTACTATGTCGTAGATTATGTATTATTATACTGTAGTTAACTTATTTTCTGTTGTTTTCTTTGTTGAAGCCATCAGAATCAGAACAGAAGAAGGCACCAGGCAGTGTTGAGCCAATTGTCTTCTTTTCTGAAGATAATGAGTTTGAATATAAAGAAGAAAAGTAGCAAATACATGAAGAAATTCTGTGTATTAGTAAAATCAATATTATGTATCATAAGGTTCAATGCGATCCAGGGATATACCAAGTGAATGTGGGAAGCTCCATACAGTCTAGTAAAGCCAAAAGGTATGTGGCAGCACTGTACTGGTGGCTGTGTGCCTGGAACTTACTTCAGGGTGAACTGCATGCTCTTTTCATTGTTCCATTTACCATCATCGCGCAATATTAAGGTGAACAATAAACATAAATAGGAGGTACCTATATGTACTTGCAGAATGAAAACTGTTTTCATATACCGTGTAAATGTCGCTCACATAGTTGTGATAATTATAGAAGAATGTACATTCATTCTATACAGTGTAAATGCCCCCTCACAAATCATACATTCAGGTCGTATTAATGGTTTGTGTAGACTAGATTTAGTTGGCGCTAGGATTATAGCTACTAACCGTTGTTGTCTCAGCAGTTTCCTTATAAACAAACTCATGAATGTCATGAGAAATATGAAACCTGTCGATATGAGATACAGTAGAGTTCCTTGCAATTCCTTCCCTAACCCAACTGGAAATCCAGTAAAATATCACGCACGCATTGCAGTGAATTCCTTAACGAGCGTGTAACGTCGCTAAAGCTACTTAAACTTAAATAATTATGTTATCCTGATTTGAGTTTTGTACGTGGCCTTAGGTTACATGTACATGTAGATCTATTTACAACACAATGTGGTAATTAATTCTGAGAAAATCTTTCTCTTCGTTTTTCATGCATGTAGCAAATATTTCACTTTGGCTGATACTCTTGGCGACTGCACAAAAAATAAATTACTCCTTTAGATCTCTAATGAAAAGGGCAAGGTAGTTTCTGTCTTGAAAACCATTACCTGGGCGTTATTTTGCGTGACGTGACGTTTCGTGACGTGTTGAATGCACACTGCTGCACTGCAAACTCCAGCGAAGTCCTTTAGTGCCCAGTGTGAATTGTTGCTATTTAAAATGTTCAAAAAAAAAAAAAATTTTCCCCAGGGTGAGAGGAGTTCATCGCCAGAAACTCTTGGGGTTCTTTACATCTGAATATCCCCACTTGATTTGTTGACTCTAAACTTTTTCTATATTTATCGGAAAAAAATCTCATGCTGATAACTAATACATGTAATTTTCTTTGAATATTGACCTCTTTAGTATAATGGCCTACGAGGTAATTATATGTGAGAGATGATATGAAGGGAGCAAACTCCGTTCGGTATAGAACAGGTCTTTGCTCCAGTACATGTGAACTGGGGCGCAAGTTTATGAATTGGTTATGAAACGCAACGGAGGTAAATACATTTATGTATTGGAAATAAAGCGTATTTTAATAGCATGTACCGAGGGGAAAAAATGATAGTAATCAGATGAATATTGTATCGCATGAATGGGGTGATTAAATAATACTGATTTTTTCTGGCCTGTGTGAGGAACGATTGTTCACTTTCATCTTTTTTTCAAACAGAGAATTCATCTGTACGTGTATTTGCGTTGCATCGTAAGTCTCTTTCACGGGGTTTATTTAAGTTCAATATATATTTTTTGTCTATAACAACCAAGCAAAAATTCTTTTTATAACATAGCGCGCGCGCTGGTCGTACCTAGTTTCTGTGGAGCCATCGTAGAAATTTCCTGGATAATGCAATTCGAGAGTTTTCATTGGCTTAGCCATCATCAGCCCACAAATATGGTAAGCGTACGCGTGTTTTTGTGGGGCGTTTTTGTGTATCAGTTCGAGAGCACTCAAGAAGTTTCCAGAGCACTCAAGAAGCTAGCGGAGCTGCTCTCGGCTGCGCCGCCTCGAGCAACGCTTACATCTCTGGCGTGCTCTCCAAGCGTCTCGCGTGCATCGATAACTCGATATACGCGCTAAGAATGAACCAATTCTTGAGTAAATTCTCAACCTCTCGTACTTCTAGGACCCCTCGACTTTTAGTTTTCTGCGACGCGCAAAGAACACCGCACCTGCATTTCACCTGTTCTTTTAGTCGCCTTTCCATTCATGCTAACCTCTTCAGTCAACAATGTAATTAGTTCGGCGCTAATTTCTGCGCTCTCTTTTTCCGTTAACTTATTCACTGCTTCCATAGCCTTGGTTGATCAGTTAAGCTTATTAACGTCTTAGATCATTACTGGTCTAAACATTACGAAGTATCATTACAACTTTTCGTATCGGAATTATAACCTCCAATCGTGTTTCAACTATCTTAATTTAGTCTTGATCTTGTAGGCTGAGGTACTTCCTAGGAAAAGAGGCGGCTATTAAATAGGAAAACTGTTGTAATTATGTCGTCGTCGGCGGCGTTAGCTCGTGTCCGAGCATCAATTTCTTCTAACAGTACGGTCTCATCTTTGATGGCCTCGGAGGTGGCTTAGCAGGCCAATCCTTGCATAGAATTTGCGAGGGCAGTGAGGGCACGGGAGGGTGGGCGGTGGACGAGGGGCTGCAAGACGGCGTTTTTGTTCTTCACGTTTCTCTACGGCTTTGCGCCTCCATTCCTCTTCAAACATGGCAGTCCCGGTGGAAATGGACTGTCGCCAGCCGGATCGATTTGCCGCTGTTGTCTCCCATGTCCTCGGATCAATTCCAGTTTATGTGTTAGTGTGCTTAAGTGAGTCTTTAAAAGAAAGTTGGCCTACGGGCGAAAAGGTGCGGTAATCTTTAATCTTTAATCTTTAATAAAAATTTCCAAATTACATTACATTGAACAAGTCAATCCAATGAATTTGAGGACAGCTTAAAACAGAATACAAGATTCCTTAATATAAGCCGCCTTAGTGTATCATTGTATGAATGTATACCTAGTTAAAAATTAATCTAAACTCATGTTAAAAAATAAGATAATCACGATAAAAAATTAGCACTGAACATGTTATTTATGTAAACCAAGAAGAGCAGGGGTCCCAAAATTGATCCCTGGGGTCTCCAGCTGTGACGGGGAGAAAAAAGTGATTTTTGGAAGTTAAAGTATTTCGGCTATGCCCCTTCTTCCTCCGAATTCGAAAGAGGTCTACTCTTCTATATACTAAAGCATGATGCACGCAGTTTGATCGGTTCAATAAATTTTAAAAGCTATGAGAAACGCACGTTTCCCTCCCCAACTTCCGCGCATTCGACGATAACACTTGGCTATATGTCATATATTTCAACAAAGACAAGATATTTTTTCGTATGAGTAATTTTANTACATTGAACAAGTCAATCCAATGAATTTGAGGACAGCTTAAAACAGAATACAAGATTCCTTAATATAAGCCGCCTTAGTGTATCATTGTATGACTGTACACCTACAATCATGGACAAAAGTCTTGGGACAAATTTGCACTTTTGGTGCTTTTGCGTAAACGCAGGACGCGAATACTACTTCACCTGCCTAACCTCGCCCCCCACCTCCCATACAATATTGAAAACTACTAGCTGCAATTTCTTCTGATTTTCAACATTGTATTGGGTGGGGAGGGGGAACAGTAATGCCTTTTTAAAGGAAAGCAGCGCTTTTTTCAAATTTCGGTAGTAAAAGACAGATAACTCGTTGAATTGCATAAGTGTCCCAAGGACTTTTGTCCACGATTGTCTGATTTTCACGTCTCGTACAAAAATGCACAATTAGGATGTTCTTTAGCCCTAAGTGCATTTAGGGCCCGAGACTGTGAACATGTGAGATTAGAAAGGCATTTCTAAGAGCTTTTACACGGCTTTTCCGTATTTTTCAATGGTTTTGGACCCACCGGGAAAGGTGTTGATTTCAAATAATACAGAAACTTTTGTATATGATGGCAGTGAAAATGGCGTCGCTTGATTTGGATACGTAACGAATTGTTTACATTGTAATGCACAGTTGTGCAGATACTTCAAGTATTTAAACGACAAATTTGGTCTTTAAGTCAATCTTAGTGATCACCTTAACAGTCATTACAGCGCGTATCAGTGTGTACGAAGATACTGAGGCGCTATTCTCTTTGGGTAGTGACGTCACGTTCATTGGTCATCGCACAGTACTCAGCGGCAAAGAAAGACAGTGTTAACTCAATTTCCTCAAAGTATCAACTAAGAAAACCAGCGGAGATATTTTTCAACACGAGATTTATGGTACTTTTTCGAAATTATTTCACAAAAGTCACGTCACAGCACGCTGCATGGCAGTAAATGCAACAGTACTCACTTGATTCAGTGTGGAAGAGTTGACTTTAAAACAATTCTTAACAATGAAAAGTGAGTACCGTGTTTGCAGAGCACCGAATTAAGTTTTTCCCAGCAATAAAGGTCTAGAAAGGTCGATTGTCAAATACAGTTCAGTTCAACATGTCTTAAATGTGAGCTTTTGGAAATAAGTAGGCAGATTTTAAGGTTTTGAAGTGAGTACCGTTGCTGAGAACTGTTGAGTTGTGCAAATAGGAAGTGAGCAACTCATTGTGCCTAACATTCACAAATGTCACAATATTATTTCGTAAACAAATAAAAGGAAATGACTTCCAATGGCGGGAAACAAATTTCAGATATTTGGTTCGGTACCCTAGCTTTGGACGAAATTATAGTTTGCGATGCCCGCTCACTGCATGTGTCATATATTCATGCTACAGATGACTTCGAGATTTGACATTGCCGCGCGATTTCCCGGGATGAAAACTTTTTGTTCTTCTTAAAACACATGACTTTTGCTCGTTCTTGTCGTATGTACCATGATCTATAATGCCCGTTGCTGCCTTAAGCGTTAAACATGTTTGTCCTTTCAAATACCGCACGTGCGAGTCTGAGATAGGCCAAATTCCGATTTACACCTCGCGTGGGGAAAAATTGGAAAGAAACAAAAAGCGTTAATAAACCACAAAATAGCCCCAAATAGCCATTGTATTACGATCTATTCACAGAGTTGAGAAAAAACACATTTAGAATGTGAAAAAGCACTGAAAAGTGACATTTTATTTCTCAACTGAAATTCAGACAATCATGGACAAAAGTCTTAGGACAGATTTGCACTTTTGGTGCTTTTGCGTACACGCCGGACGCGAATACTACTTAAATAATAATAAATAATAATTGTCGTGACTAATCGCCGTCGCAAAGTACAGCAACGACGTAGCTCAACAAGGTCGAACCGAAAGCATACATTGGCGCCTCTGGCAGCCGCTATACGGTCCATGTGTGACCTTGGAGCACAGCTTACA